GTCTGGAGGCATCTCTATGGCCTGTTTGTTTTGGTTTGGTTTTGGGCCACATCTGGCTGTGCTCAAGGGTTACTCATGACTTTGCCCTTGGGAATTACTCCTGGTCATATTGTATGCCAGGGATCTGACCCGGGTTGGCCGTGTGCTAGCCGAGTGGCTTACCCACTGCTCCAGCCCCCTGGATGTATTTTAAATGTAGGTCAGATTGGGTTTCTGATGGATTGGAAATTGGGAGTGAACCAATTTAGATTTCTCATTTCAAGGAATTTTTTCTGAGTATTTTTGCAAATGTTTTGCCTATTAAGCTTTCTTGACATGTATTTTCAGCCCCATATTGCTATTCTTAGTAGGTAAGATCATTTTTATTCTCTAATACTGCCTTTTAATTATTTTAATGTGTTTTTTTTTCTTCTGAAGGCTTTCATTCTTTTCTACTTTCATCTGTATTCTGTATTTTGCTATTTCTGACTTTTGGCTCTGTAATGGCAGTTTTATTTTTCAGCTTATTTTAGCTTTACAGTCTGCCTTTTTGTTCTATTTTTATCACTTATTTTCTAGCTTTAAAGAAAATTGAATTCAAACCGTCTTTTTCTGCTCCTTCCCTTCATTGCTGCCATGCCTGGGGATTGCACACACTTATACATTCTGGCTGTGGTGGTGTTTGTACACGTGCTCAGTCTTTATTGTTGGTTTGTTGTGCTCTGCAGAGGCTGCTGTGGTTCTCACATACTTCCCAGTGTGTGTGTGTGTGTGTGTGTGTGTGTGTGTGTGTGTGGAGGGTGTTTCACTCCTGCATGGTGCTTGTGCACAAGTTGCAGTTGTTTGGGGGTAGGGTGGGAAGCATGCTTGAGTTGTGCGGTTTACATTACCTGGTTTGCACAAAAGGTCTCTGCATAGGGGTCCCAGACAGAAGACCTTCAGGGACCATGCTTGATGCATGGATAGCACCGAGAAACAAATTGATAGATTTAACACTTGTAAGGTGAACGAATTTTTTTTTTTTTTTTTTTTTTTTGCTGTAGAACCATCCTCTAAACCTCTGAATTAAAATTCTTGGCTCTGTTTTGGTAGGGAGGATGTTTGGGCCACATCTGGCCATGCTCAGGAGCCACACCTGGCTTGGTGCTGAGGAGTCAGTCTCATAGTGCTAGGGAGACTGTGTGGCTCCAGAGCTCAAACCTGGCTGAAAATGCAAATGAGTATTTTAAGAAGAAACCTGCTTTTGACTTAGGAAGATTGATGTTGTTTTCCAGATTTGAATTCATCTGCTCCCTGGTTTCTTTTCTCCTGTTGTCTCTTTGTATTAATAGGAGATTTGGCAGTTGCTGTGTTATTTTCATTTATCTTCTATCTTTTCCTTGGATAATCTATTTACACCTTTTGCTTGTACTCTAGAGTACAGATGGCATGTTCTTGATATGTTTTCCATCTTATTTGAAATGTATCCCCACCCAATCCCAGTCATTCACTGTGGCCTGCCTCCCTGCCTGCCCACCCTCCCTCCCTCCCACTCTCCCTCCTGGCTCTGGGCTCGGACACCACTCCTGGTGCAGCTTGGGGGACCACATGTGATGACTGAACCCTGACTGAGCCTGCTTCTTTCATCTTCATTTTCTTTAAATTCAGGACAGAAGAACTTGTCACCGAGGACTCTAATCTCTATGACACATTTAAATGACTTTCTTCTAAAATATCATAAAACCATTTTTTTTAAAATCTGAGAGATGGCTTAAAAGGCTGGAGTGCATACTTTTTTTTTTACATGTGGGTCACCCAGGTTTGAGCCCCGCACAAGGACTCCAGCAACTCCAGAAGCAGCTAGTTCCCAAGTACCACCAGCTGTAGCTCACAAACCAGAAACCAAACCCAACCCCCTTTTCTATCAGGTCCATTCGATTCATTGGTAAAGGTTTTGATTATGTGTTCAAGTTTGATTCAGTGGATTGTGGAAGATGGTACACATCAGAATTTCAGAAATCAGAAGACTTTCTTTAGGTTCCATGACGATTTGTGAGACTCTTGCGGGGGGAGGGGGGTGGGAGAGAGGGCGGGAAGGAGCAAGGGAGAGAGGGAGGAAGGCGCTTTCCTAGTTCTATATATTCATACCTTCATTCTTGCTTTTTATTTATTTATTTTTTTGCTTTTTTGGGTCACACTGGAGATGCAGGGGTTACTCCTGGCTTTGCACTCAGGAATTACTTCTGGCGGTGCTTCATATGGGATGTTGGGAATCAAACCTGGACTGGCTGCGTGCAAGGCAAATGCCCTACCCGCTGTGCTATTTTTCCAGCCCTAGAAACTTTTTTTAAAGGTTACCCATTTCCTTTTGTGGGGGGGGGGGGAGGAGAGTGGCGTTGGACCATACCTGGGACTGGTCAGGGGTATTTATGTCTTTGCTGGGTATTCCTGACTTCTAATGATGTTTTGGGTGCATGTGTGGGGCCAGGAATCATATTGGGGTTAGTGCCATGCAAGGCAAATGCCTTAAGCTCTGTTGTAATTCTCTGACCCAATCTCATTTTCATTTGGGTGTTTTATGTTTTTCTAATCAGGTATTTTTAGTATGTTAAGTATAAGAGTTCTGTAATCCTTATCGTGTCTTCCTTGCCCATAAATATTGGTATTTATAATATTTATGTTTTGTGGCTACATTCACTGTGCCCTGGGATCACTGTGAGATAGACCCTTACAAAACTGTTCATGATTAGGTTTCAGTCATACAGTATTCCAGTACTCATCCCTCCACCAGTGTACATTTCCCAGCACCAGTGTTCCCAGTTTCCCTCCTGTCAGCCGCCCAACCCTGGCATGTATTTTTTTTTTAGTTTTTTAAAAATTTAATATGTCCCAAAAAAGCAAAAAAAAAAAATTAATGTGTCTTGGGACTGGAGCAATAGCACAGCGGGTAGGGCGTCTGCCTTGCACGCGGCCGACCCGGGTTCGATTCCCAGCATCCCATACGGTCCCCTGAGCACCACCAGGGGTGATTCCTGAGTGCAGAGCCAGGAGTAATCCCTGTGCTTTGCCGGGTGTGACCCAAAAAGCAAATAAATAAATAAATAAATAAATAAAATTTAATGTATCTTTAAATGTTGTTGGAACATTGTATAACTGAAACCAAATTATGAAAACTTTGTGAAGATCTATCTCACAGTAATTCAATAAAAAAATCTTTTTAAACATTTTAAAAAATAAATGAAAACATAACATTTATATCTTTAAAGTATTTAGATCTTTGCTATCTACAACTTCAAATTTGTTTTTTAAAAATTCCTTTACTGGGGGACCTGAGTGATGGTACAGCAAGCGTTTGCCTTCCATGCAGCTGACCTGGGTTCAGTCCTTCTGCAGTTCCCCAAGCACTACCAGGAGCAGTTCCTGAGTGCAGAGCCAGAGGTAACCTCTGAGCATTGCTATGACTCAAAAAGCAAAAATAAATAATAAATTCCTTTATTTTCTTTCCCACCCCTGTGACATCTCCCTCACCCCGTCCTCACACTCTCCAGGCCAGTTTATTTGCAGCTTTATTTTTGGAAAACACCAAAGGTTAGATACAGAACATTCTAGAGAAAGAGAAAGGACTCTTGATGTGGATAGGAAGAACAAGTGGTAAAATAACACTTTGGGAATGATAAGAACTAATATTATAGTTTGAGGAGCGGGGTGGTGGGTGACGATGGTATTTGAGACATTTTAAAAAAGACTAAGAAAACATGCTTTTACCGATGCTGGCGTGGATGTGGCGAGAAAGGGACACTCCTTCACTGTTGGTGGGAATGTCCACTGGTTCAGCCCTTCTGGAAAACAGTATGGACGATTCTCAAAAAATTAGAAATTGAGCTCCCATTTGACCCAGCAATACCACTCCTGGGAATATATCCCAGAGAGGCAAAAATGTATAGTCGAAGTGACATCTGCACTTGTTTGTTCATTGCAGCACTCTTTACAATAGCCAGAAACTGGAAGAAACCTGAATGCCCAAGAACAGATGACTGGTTAAAGAAACTTTGGTACATCTACACAATGGAGTACTATGTAGCTCTTAGAAAAGATGAAGTCATGAACTTTACATACAAGTGGTACAATATGGAAAGTATCATGCTAAGCGAAATGAGTCAGAAAGAGAGGGATAGACATAGAAAGATTGCATTCATCTGGGGGATATAAAGTAACAAAGTATGAGATTAATACCCAAGAATAGCTGAGATCAGCACCAGGAGGATTACTCCATAACTTAGAGGCCAGCCGGGTATCCTAGAGGAAAGGGCAGTTCAGATAGAGAAGGGAGCACCAAATAAAGGATGTTTGGAGGATCCTCCCAGGAGGGGAGATGCATGTCGAAAGTAGACTATGGACTGAACATGTTTGCCACTCAATGCCTCTTTTGCAGACCACAACACCCAAAAGGAGAGAGAGAACACAGGGGATTGCCCTGCCACAGAGACAGGGGGGATGGGGGATGGGGGTGGGAGGGATATTATCCATGGTGGTGGAAAATGGGCACTGGTGGAGGGATGGGTATCTGATCATTGTATAATTGAAACCAAAGCACAAAAAATTGTAAATCTACAACTTTAAAAAAAATAAAATAAAATAAAGGGAAAAAAAAAAGAAAACATGCTTTTTGAATTAAGATGGTTTGATTCTTGATTAAGATTTCTTTTTTTTTTTTTGCTTTTTGGGTCACACCTGGCAATGCACAGGGGTCATTCCTGGCCCTGCGCTCAGGAATTACCCCTGGCAGTGTTCAGGGGACCATATGGGATGCTGGGAATCGAACCCGGGTCGGCCGCGTGCAAGGCAAACGCCCTACCTGCTGTGCTATCGCTCCAGCCCCTGATTAAGATTTCTTAAAGTATTTCTTTGCAGCTCAGTCTTTCTAGCGAATGCTTATCTTTTAATAACTAATTTCACCTTGGAGAAAAGAAAACCCAACAAAATAAAAGTGTGGTTGCATTTTGGAATAGCTATTGGATAACTGTGAATGTTTTTTCCTCTAGAATATTCCTGGGAAAAGGGACACAGAAGTCGGCAATGCTGTGCCCTAACTAGAGAGTGAAGGATATCACCAACTCCGAGAAGAATTTCAAAGAGCCAGGACTTTGTTTTTATCACTTCCGACTTCAAACTAATGTTGTCTGCTTGAAACCTGAGATAACTACAGTCAGAGCCCAGACTGCAAAAGGACACTTTTCTTCTGTGTAGTTTGAAATTAAAGAAACTGCAATGTCTAGGAGACAAAACCAGAAAGGTAAGATGACATGTGAGCATACCTTGTTAAAAGCATAGTTAAGGAATAATGAGGGCGTTTTCCAGTATCTATAACTAAGATGGACTCTCTTAATGTGTTTTGACTTTTCCTCACCCAGTGAAGTAGTACTAGTAGTTTTTGTTTTGTTTTTGTTTCCCCCTGTGTGTGCCCAGGGTTTTCTCCTGACGCTGCTCTCAGGAATCACTCCTGGCGGGCTGGGGGGACCATATGGGATGCTTGGGATGCTAGGGATCGAACTGCATGCACTATCCACTGCACTCTCTCTGGCCCCTATATGCTAGTTGTTATAACAACTTTTTGTCGTGGCTACAGTTAATTTAAGAATACAGAATCTTTAAACTTTGTTGCTTATCTGTGAATACTAACTTATAGCTCTGTGTTTTCCTGTCCTGGGATTTGTTTCATAGGAAAGTGTTTTTCTACTCTTAAAACTTTATGAAGTCGAAGTAAAGGGCTGGGGAGATAAGTGAGTGCAGTGGAGCCCATGCTTTGAATGCAGGAGGCCAGGGCTTGAGCTACAGCTCCAGATAGTTCCCGGAGTACCGAGCCAGGAGAAGCCCTTGAGCAGCACATGTCTGTGCCCACCCCTGCCTCCCCTCCCCCCGTCCCTCATTGAAATATACTTGCAGGAAAGCTAAATGTTTCTTGAAAATGCAGTTTCGGGAGAATGAAAATATTGAAGATATGTTAGGGCTGGAGGGCTTGGAAACGAACTATAGAATGCTTTCATTGCCATGAGTTGATGTTTCATTAGAGACAGAAATGAAGCAATATTATGATACTTCTAGTTTTTGATTTCTTCTTTCGTTTTCCTTCTGGGGTTATTACTTAATTCTATTGCCTAAAATAAAATGTAGGGTGGCAGAATCAAGAACTACTAATAATGATCATTATAAGGAGGAGGAGGAGAACAAAGACTTTAAACTTTCCTAGAATAATTACAAAAATTCAGAGGGACAGATTTAACCATAGTGCTAGAATTATTCCACGTAACTGAAATCTATTTGCTACAGAGTGGCTGTAGTTGTATTGCTTTTCCTCTCCTTTAATTTAATTTAAATTTAATGTTCTTTAGTTTAAAACAGAGCTATAAATCCAGGTTTCATGTTAAATGTTAAGGAAATGCTTTTAAACTTAATTGACTAAGCAATTCAAAAACATCATTGTAGGGGCCTGGGAGAGGTATCAAAGGGCTTGAGGACATGCTACGCTTGTGGGAGCCCTGGATTCCATCCTAGAATTGAAGCCTAGTGTCCTGTCTCCGTCACCTCTTCACATGCTAGGTGCAGTCTCCATGCCACAAGTGTTCTCTCTTCACCGCACTACAAAAGTGTGTGTGAGCACTGTGACTAAAACATGCTAGTACCACAGGCAAGTTCGATCCCTGGGAACGACAAGTAGTAGCACTGCACTGTCGCACTGTCCTCCCGTTGTTCATCAATTTGCTCAAGTGGGCACCAGTAACGTCTCCATTGTGAGACTTGTTACTGTTTTTAGCATGTCAAATTCGCCACGGGGAGCTTGCCAGGCTCTGCCGTGTGGGTGGGATTTTCTCCGTAGCTTGCCAGGCTGACGGCAACAAAGGGAAAGGAGAAGGGGAAATAACATAATTGTTTTGTAAGTTAAGTAGATAGACAAGAGAGTGCAGGGGGTCAAGCACTTGCCTTACAGATGCTTTCCCGGTTCAGTCCCCAGCACTCCCTCTGGTACCTTGAGAACGACCAGCTAAGTGTACCCTGAGCACCATCAGGTGTGACACCAAAAACTAAAAAAAAGAAAAAGGAAAATTTAGAAAAACAAAGAAAAGTTAGGCAGATTGTTTCAACCTTTAAAAAATTAGCATCTGTTTCTGTGCTTTGCGAAGAACTGTAGAAATAGTTTCTTACAATTAGTAATTACCATAAATGAATTTAAGTTTTAAACCTTATCACAGGCGTTACATAATGCTAACAAAATTCAATTTAACATAATTTTAATTAATATTTAGATGGGAACAAAAGAAAGTTACTATGTTATTAGCATGGTCTCTGAAGTGTCTATTCATGCAATTGTGTCTGATGTTTAAACCAAAAACATACAAAAATATTTATAAAATTCTATTTTATTTATTTTGTACATCTTTAAAGTTTTATTTGGGATACCAAATACTAACTTTATCAACTTAGTTATAATACATTATAGAGAGAGGTAACTCAGTACTTTTTTTGTTCCGTTTTATGTTATGGGCCACATCTGGGATGCTCAGGGCTTACTCCTAGCTCTTCACTCAGGAATTACTCCTAGAGGTGCTTGGGGGCTATATGGGATGCCAGAATCAAAACCAGGTCAACCACACGTAAGGCAAGCACCCTACCCCAGTGTACTATCTCTCCAGCCCCTCAGTGCTTTCTTAAGCCACTTCCCTTTTCTGGAAGTTTGATATAAACTGATCAATAGAATTTCCTCTGCACTTTTCCCTTAGTGCAGTTTTTTTTTTTTTAAATTTTTATTAGTGAAACACCATGAGGTATAGTTGTAGGCTTACAAATTTTTGTGCTTGGGTCTCAGTTATACAATGGTCGAGTACCCATCCCTCCACCAGTGCCCATTCTCCGCCACCACTGATCCCAGTATCCCTCCCACTCCCCCCTGTGGCAGGGCATTTCATTTTGTTCTCTCTCTCTTTTGGGGTGCTGTGGTTTGCAAAAAAGGCATTGAGTGGCAATCATGTTCTGTCTATAGTCTACTTTCAGCATATATCTTCCATCCTGGGAGGATCCTCCCAACACCCTTTACTGGTGGAGGGATGGGTACTCGACCATTGTATAACTGAAACCCAAGCACAGAAATTTGTAAGTCTACAACTATACCTCATGGTGTTTCACTTAATAAAAATTTAAAAAAAACCACTGCACTAAGGAAAAAGTGCAGAGGAAATTCTATTAATCTCTTTATATCAGATTTTATGACTTCATCTTTTCTGATAGCTACATAGTACTCCATTGTGTAGATGTACCAAAGTTTCTTTAACCAGTCATCTGTTCTCTGGCACTCAGGTTTTTTCCAGATTCTAGCTGTTGTAAACAGTGCTGCATTGAATAAACAAGTGCAGATGTCACTTGGACTATACTTTTTTCCCTCTCTGGGATATATTCCCAGGAGTGGTATTACTGGGTCAAATGGGAGCTCATTTTCTAATTTTTTGAGAATCATCCATACTGTTTTCCAAAAGGGCTAAACCAGTCAGCATTCCCACCAGGAGTGCAGTGTTTTTAAGGTTCGTCAGTGTTCATGAAAGCATCAGTAATTTGTGTCTTTTTACTTTTAAGTAGTGTTGCAGTTATGAGAAATAAAAACCTTTGCCCCTTCTTTGAAGTTTTGGGGCTATATCTGGTAATGCTCAGAGACTACTCCTGTCTCTGTGTCAGAGTAACTCCGATAGTGCTCTGGGTATCATTTGCTAGGCTGGGGTGGAACCATGGTCTGTAGCATGCAAGGCAAACACTTTATCTCCTATACTATTTATATGGTTCCCAAACGTTCCCCACCCCTCCCTAGCCCCCCATATAGGGACCAAGTCCAGTAGTGCTCTGGGGGGGTCAGGGGTCATTCAAAAAGGTACTCAGCCCTGCGCTTGTGGACTTTGCAGGTTCAGTGCTCAGACATGGTGCTTTCTAATGCTGCGACCACCAGGACTATACCTGACAGTGTTCAGGGAGTGTCAAAGCTCTATCCAGCAGTGCTCAGGAACCTTGTGGTTCCAGGGATCAAACTCATGCCCTTGCACATGCTACACACTTTGAGCCCTATCCCCAGTTTCAGGACTCTGCTACTCTCTTCTCTTCATAGCACTTCTGCTACCAGCCTGTGATAATTTCCCAGTTCTCTGCTGCCAGCGAGGCAGTCTCCAATTCAGAGACTGCCTGCCTGAGTTTAGCATCAGATCCCACAGGACCTCCCTGCTTTGTATGTCAGTCACAGGTACAGTATGTTCTCACTTAAAGTTGTTTATAGGTCTTTGGCTTTAAGTGGAACAGTGTATAATGGAAACAGGTGCTTGAATGAATGTTTTCTTTCTGTCTCCTGGGTTTTTATTCTTTCCTTCTTTTTTTTAAATCAAATCGACATCATAGTGAAACCATGTTGAACAAAATGTTAGTATTCAGGAACCTGCTACCTCAGATCACCAGGTTATCCCCACTTTTGTCCAGGTTTGCTACAAATGGTGATTTCTACATCCCCCTCCTCTGTTTCTTTAGTTTGCTGATAGGTTCACAGAACTCAGTGAAACATATTTACAGGTTAATTGTGTAAAAAGATATTACAGGACTGGAGAGAAAGTACAGTGAGTAGGGAGGTTCTTGCTTTGTGTGGGGTCAACCTGAGTTTGTTCCCTGACACCAGATATGGTTTCCCCAAGCCCTGTCAGGGGTAAGCCCAGATGTGATCTAAAAACTGGAAATAAAAAGAAAAAAATGTAAAAGATGCTGATTTAGAAAACAGAATGTTGAAGAGCAGCCAGCTGAAGAATAGAGGATAAAGGATAAAGTCTGGAAGGATTTCTTGCAAGGAGCCCTTGTCCCTATAAAGATGCCACCTTTCCAATACACTCATCCTGAAACTCCATATTCCTTTTTTTTTTTTTTTTGGAGTGACGGGTAAAGCTGGACTATTTCAGTGTTTTTTGCAATATAATATATATTAATTTTTAATTTTTTTTCCCTGGATGACAGCAGAAATATTAGACTTTCGGAAGTCAGCAGTGGTTTCCTGATTGGCTTGCAGGTACCCATAATTATAAGGAGTTAGGTGTATAAAAATGCTGTCAAACCAGCAAGACTGCATTTATGCATCTGTCATTTTCAGGACTGGGCTTATTTTCCCCAAATAGCCTGCCTTCCTGTGTGACAGGCCCAGCTTATTCACCTCAGTAACAGTATCTTTGGCAGTAATACCCAAAATTATATAGAGTGGAAATGATTGATTCTTCGTTACACAAA